AGTGGCGAATGCAGGCCTTTAAGGCAGGGCCCGGCAACCTGGGCTCATAGGGTTCAGGCGGCTTCCGAGGTTCGTCAGTGAGAGCTGGGAATGGGCCTCATCCACTTAAAGAAACTATCCTCTCTAATTCAATTTTTCTCTCTCCTTGAGACGATGTTCGGCGCATACCAGCAGAGGGCGACCGTGAGATCGAGCAGCAATTTTCAACTTTACATAAATTTGAATTATAAACGCCAATTTTTCACTCGAAATGGGCGACAATATTAGTCACCCTTGACAATTATCTTATGTTTCGACGATATTTGACGGAATTCAATAAATAAAATTCAATAGTTGTCGATAATTCTGCTTGCAATAACTTTATCCAGTCACGTGAAGCAAATAATTTGTAGATAAATAGTAATTGCTGAGAAGGGCTGCCTGATTGTCATTAACAACATTGAATTACTCATTTTTTATTTTATTTAACTACCAGAGTATCTGAAATATACTGTGGCAATTTTAAAATAAAAATATAAAATCCAACACTTTCAGTTTTTCATATACTGGAATGAAATGTAAGTTCCAATATTTGAAAGGAAAATAATGATTACGACTAGCATTTTAGAAATATATTCTCCAAGGTTTTCCTATAACTATAGTTATCCACGAATGCATCCACACCTATCAAGAGTTCAAAGAGCCCTAAAAAGCAATTTCAAAGACGGCTACTACGTAAAGAATTACCATAGCTGTGTTGAAGTCTTCACTACAACATATGAATAACACAATCAACTCAAAGAACTATCACAGAAGAAGAATCTCCAGTTCCACACATGCACGGATAAAACAGAAAATAGGAGGACTTAGGTTATCATTGGTCTCCATGACAGTTAAAAAATCTGTTCCTTATTTATGCAGCGCAAAAATGACATAGGAATTTAGCAAGAAACAAAAGCGTATCACACAATGTCACAGGTGTCAAAAGTGGAGCCATGTAGCGATAAAATGCTACGCTCAACCCGGATGCCTCAAATGTGTTGAAAATCATCACACTAAAACAGGGCTCGGCATCTTGGGCTCATCGAGCTCACGTGACTCCCGAGTATATGACAATAAAGGAACTGTGCCCGATATTTTTGATGAATGACAATGTTCAATAGAAAAAGCGATATATATGAAGCAATATTATAGAATGAGCACTTTTTTATTTTCCACATTTAGAGTGGCAATTTTTGAGAGGAAAATAATAATTGCCGAAAACCATTTCCGAAATATACTCTCCAAGGTTTTTCATTCTAAATTTCTATTTTTTAATTTTATATTTAAAATTAAAAACTGCAAATGTGCGCCAATTCGGGCGGGTCAGCCATTTTTGTTCGACTCATAGGCCTCTCTACGTGGTTGAGAGGAATATTGACGATATTCCACTGGGACTTATTGACAGACAAAGGTTGGCTAATTGGCTGCGACTAGGATTCGGACATTATCCCAACTCTAGTAATAGGCTGGCTCCCGGCTACCTGACGGTCGCCGGACCATGCACTAAGGTTAAGATTAAGGTTAAAATACGGATAGGCATTTGCTGCTGCCCTCTTGCCACCGAACCCCTACTGGGTTATTGTGGCTCCGTTTTCCTACTGATCCCTATAATTCTAAGCCAGCTTTTCTCACCAGTTTTAGTAGATTCCCGGAGTCTAGGTCCGCTACGTAACTGATGCTAGGGAAGGCGGTTCCCCAGCAACTTAGCCTTGTTGTAGCCAGTGTAGGACCACGACAAAGTATATGCAGGCTGTCCCCGTCTACCTCAAGGCATAATCTGCAGCGGGCATCGCTTTCGATGCCCATGTTTTTGCAGTGTGCCCTAAACCTACCATGTCCAGTGAGGAGCCTGATTGTGGTGCACAGTTCCTCTCTTTTCATGTTCAGTAGCTTTTCTGCCCTTTCCTTGCTTAGGGTTGGCATGAGGGCTTTGCATTTTCTGCAGGTTGAGATCTGCTTCCATCGCCCTTGGTGTTCCTTCCGGAGTTTGTTTTTAATTTGAGACATTCCGGTAGCGAAAGGGACCCCCACTGTCATGACCTGGTCATCATTTGACGCCCCATGCCTTGCCAATTGGTCCGCTATCTCGTTTCCTTTTATCCCTTTGTGGCTCGGGACCCATGCCAAAGTTATTTTATTGGCTGCCCCTAGTGCTTCTATAGCTGCCATCGTCTCCCAGACCAGCTTCCATTCGGTGCTTGGTTTCTTTAGGGCTTTGATGGACTTTTCGGGTCAGAATCACCCCCTTTACATGCTGGTCAAGGATTAGCATGTACTTCTGGGACACCCTGTATAGGTCTTGAAGCCCTTCCTGATCAGGTACCTCCTAGTTGTTCTATCCTGATCTATGTTCAGGGGGCTCCTCTTCAGTATATCGAGCTTGGCATGTGCCGCACTCGACTGATTCCATTCCCCCTGAAATATCAGCCTATAGGCGGTTGCCTCTGCCTTGTACAGTACCGCTAGATCAAGTGGTGGTGTGTTCATTGCCACTTCCAAGGCTTCGGTCGGTGTGGTTTTCATCGCCCCAGATCAGCCCTGAGGAAATTTCCCTGAAGAGCTTTTAACTGGTTCTTAA